TGTATTACAATATTTATTTGTTTCCCTGCCATGCCATAGCCAGCTAAGTTTATCAAAACATTTAAGTCTATTAACCCATTCATTAGGTGACTAAGCTGTTTAAGTTGGTTAGGCCATTTATTAGCCAATTAATATTAAATATAGTTAACAAAATCTTGTCAGAGAAATGTCCTGTCAGAGAAATGTCCTGTCAGGGAAATGTCCTGTTGGGGAAACATCTTGTTGGTGAAATGGTGTCGGTAAAACGTCCTGTCAGGGAAACAGTTGTCAGGGAAACATACCAGACCCATAATACTAATATTATATTATTATAATTACAAGATGTCAAGGCAGCACGCCATTTAAAAAGAAACATTTTGGTATGCAATGTTTGATTATCGAAAATTTACAGATGTTGAAGCATGCATGCTACCTTGAACACTTTACAATCATTCTCACATGTTCCTCATGTACACAAGGCTAATTTGACCAAGATTTCCATGATGATACAATGATGCTACCAAATTTCAGGGGGGGTGCATGGCCCTGGAGTTTACCAAGACTGTATCAATCATCAATGATGCTTTCACTAATTTTCCCTTACAGCACCAGACCAGAGATGGCTGCTGGCATGCTAGCCAAAAAGTCGCCTGCAACAATCCCACCTCTAGGGCAAGGATGGCTCTGTGACCAAGATTTTGCAACTCTTAAGAGAATCTGCAACTCATTTTAAGCACAGGAGGTCACAATTCAGAGCAGGGTTTGTGGCCCTGAAATTGCATTTGGGTTCTGATGTTAAGAGGGAAGTTGTGTATAATCATTTTCCTAAATGCTCTGTTTCTCTGTAATGATTTTCCGTGCATTTTCCGATTTTTCATGACATATTCCGTGCATATTCTGTGCATTTTCCCAACATTTTCCCAACATTTTCCTTGATTTTATGTACAGAAAAGCGCTCTTTTATGGCAAAATTCCGTTCCTTTTCTGGGTAGCAATTATAATGGAATAACCTGTGCATTTTCCGTACATTTTCCGTGCATAATTTTTTATAGGGGAGGTTATATCAGTCACAGGACATTTCCCGACGATCTATAGGAGGTTGTA